GGGGAGTGATCTTGGGGAGAAAGGCTGGGTAAACGGGCATCTCACTCCAAGTTCTTCCCTCCCTTCAAGGACCTCATCCCCTCCAGTTTCTGCCTGTTTGGGTTGCTCTCAAATGCCTTCAAACAGTTGGCTTTTTAAAATATCTTCTCCAGAATTTACAACTGTTATCAGCGGGATGGTCAGTCTGATACAAGTCACCTTTACCAGAAGTGGAAATTCCTGAAGAATTTAAGCCATCTCATTGCTTTCTTAATGTGCATTTCTTTGTTATTACTCAGGCTTTGTGCTTTTCCTATCCTTACTGGCCATTTGTATTTCTTTTGTGAATTGGCTGTTTCATGTGTTTGTCCAGATGACAAAACATTGGGATGTTCATTTCTTTTTGTTAGGATTTAAATATTAATGATATTAATTTCTTGTCTGTCATACATGTCATAAACGCTTTTCCTGGTTATTCATCTGCCTTTTAACTTTGTTTATTGCATTTTCTGTAGATTTACATTTTATGTAGACAAATCTGTCAATATTTTCCTATGTGGCTTTGTTTTTCTTCAAAAGTTTGGGAAAAGTCTGTAAGATTATGAAAATATACTCCCATAATTTCTTGTTTGGTTGGTTTGGTCTGGTTTGTATTGTTTTTGCTGTTTCGTTATGGCTGATTTTTTTAAACTATTAAATCTTTGCTCTAAGATTTGCTCTGAGATTTTTGTGAAAGTGACATCTCTTTTTAAAATGGATCAAAATTACCTATTTAGATGTTTGACAACATCATTTATTGAGTACTCGATCCTTTTTCCAGAGATTAAAGTGCAGCCCTGTCACATAGCCATTTCTAGTTGTGTGGGTCTGTTTCTGGTCTCTGTTCTTTCTGTTCCATTGATCTATTCACTCGTCCTTCCGTTTGTCTCACAGGGTTTTATTACAGCAATTTTCTGGCACATATTTTGTTTATATCTGCTAAGACATAGGCCTCTCTTTGTTCTTCTTTTTTTTCTGATATATGTTTTTGAGAGTATTTTTTTATTGAGGTCATAATAGTTTATAACATTGTGAAATTTCAGTTGTACATTATTATTTGTCAGTCACCATATAGATGTGCCCCTTTATCCCTTGTGCCCATCGCCTCAACTCCTTCCTCTCTGGTAACCACTAATCTGTTCTCTTTGTCCATGTGTTTGTTTACCTACCACATACGAATGATATCATGTGGTGTTTGTCTATCTCTGTCTGCCTTATTTCGCTTAACACAATACCCTCAAGGTCCATCCATTTTGTTGCAAATGGGACGATTTTGTCTTTATTTTTATTTTTATTTTTTTAGAGAATCACCTGTGCTGCTTTTATTTATTTATTTATTTATTTATTTATTTATTTATTTATTGTGAGGAAGATCAGCCCTGAGCTAACATCCAATGCCAATCCTCCTTTTTTTGCTGAGGAAGATTGGCCCTGGGCTAACATCTGTGCCCATCTTCCTCTACTTCATATGGGACACCGCCACAGCATAGCTTGACAAGCAGCACATCGGTGCATGCCTGGGATCTGAACCTGCAAACCCCAGGCCGCCGAAGCAGAGCACACACGCTTACTATGCCACCGGGCTGGCCCCCTGTCTTTTTTATGGCTGAGTAGTATTCCATTGTATATATATACCACATCTTCTTTATCCATTCATCCATTGATGGGCACTTGGGTTGCTTCCATGTCTTGGCTATTGTGAATAACGCTGCAATGTACATAGGGGTGGATAGATCTCTTTGTGTTGTTGATTTCATGTTCTTTGGATAAATAGCCAGTAGTGGGATAGCTAGATCATATGGTATTTCTATCTTTAATTTTTTGAGAAATCTCCATACTGTTTTCCATAGTGGCTGCACCAGTTTGCATTTCCACTAGCAGTGTATGATGGTTCCCTTTTCTCCACATACTCTCTAACGTTTGTTATTTTCTGTCTTGGTAAATATAGCCATTCTAACAGGTGTAAGGTGATATCTCATTGTAGTTTTGATTTGCATTTCCCTAATTAGTGAAGTTTAATATCTTTTCATGTGCCTATTGGCCATCCATATATCTTCTTTGGAAAAATGTCTGTTCATATCCTCTGCCCATTTTTTGATCGGGTTGTTTGTTTTTCTGTTGTTGAGTTTGTATGAGTTCTTTATATATTTTGGAAATTAACCTCTTGTTGGATATATGATTTGCAAATATTTTCTCCCAGTTGGTGGCTTGTCTTTTTGTTTTGTTCATGGTTTACTTTGCCTTGCAGAGGCTCTTTAGTCTGAGTAAGTCCCATTTGTTTATTTTTTTCTTTTGTTTCCCTTGCCCGAGTAGACATGGTATTTGAAAAGATGCTTCTAAGACCGATGTCAAAGAGTGTACTGCCTGTATTTTCTTCTAGGAGTTTTATGGTTTCAGGTCTTACATGCAAGTCTTTAATCCATTTTGAGTTAATATTTGTGTAAGGTGAAAGATAATGTTCTACTTTCATTCTTTTGCATGTGGCTGTCCAGTTTTCCCAACACCATTTATTGAAGAGACTTTCCTTTCTCCATTATATGTTCTTGGCTCCTTT